GATTTGAACCTACGACCTTTGGAATACTAGCCCAAATGCCAATGCTCTGTCAACTGAGCTATGCGGTCAGGTTGGTTTGAATCCCAATGTGGCTTGGCATATTTTTCAAGCTTACCTGGTGTGGATATGCACTCAGAGTAACATCACACAAGCATCATATTCACAAATATCATGGTTATTAGATTACACTGATATCGAAGGAACTAGACTCAGTTCCAAAATATCGCATACTCGAACTGCCCCGACTGTATAGCTCAGTTGGCAGAGCATTGGGCCAGTATTCCAAAGGTTGTAGGTTCAAATCCCACTGTGGCCAGGCATATTTTTCAAGCCTGCCCAGTGTGGATATCCACTCAGAGTATGTAACATCACACAAGCATCCTATTCACCTGAGTACATGTATTACACCAACACAGCAAATATCTTGATGGAATGAATTGGTCAGCCCGAGGTAATGTATTGAATCAATATTTGAGGAACACTTAAAAATAAGGTATGAATCGCATAAAATGCAGATATCAAAATCAAACATTGTAACTCGAGCATAAAAATGTTGCATATTTGTTTTAAAAGGTGATTGTTCCTTGAATGTTCAATGAAATAGTGCCATTGCCTTTTACAAGGAAGACCATTATAAAGAAATACACTTGACTTTCTTCATTGCCATCTGGTACTTAGTACAGATATCCCATATTTTCTTGATAAATTCATACCTGAAAGCGGAATACATACAGGTGTAAAAAACTTTAATGGTGATATAAGTGCTTTATATTCCAAAGAGTTGCTTTTCCCCACAATTTACTAATAGAATAAACTGGTATTAAAATCTCTAAAAAAACCTTTGTTACTCAGGGAAATTTATAGCAGTACGGTTTTCAACAAGCTATATTTGCTTAATTTTACTTGCTGGGGATTGTTATAATACTCGTGTTTTAAAGAATAATCTTGATAGTCAGTTCAGTTGCAACCAATGGTTGCAACACAAATTCACAATACAACAAGAATTGATAAATCATTTCAATGACTTACATGCTTTGTTCTTGTGGCCGTCAAGCTCCATTCATGTCTTTTTTATTAATGGCTTTCGGTCTTTATTGATTTATACGCGCAGTTAGAATAATACTGTATTTTCAAAAGGACGAAAATCAAAAATATACTCTCTGTCGATCAACTAATATAAACATACAAAATCACTGTAAAATCCAGGGGGGGTTGAACTTTGTCGCCCACGAACATTCGAGCCACTGGTCAGTGGAAACCCCCATGAAAATAGGTCGATTGTGACGTCAAATCCGCCATGTTTTTGGCCACACACTTTCGTCGAGAGCACGATCTCCAGATATATAAGTATAGCTCAGTGGTTTCTTGGCAGTTTTGTCGAATATTAGTATATTCGTGTTTATCTTTCAAGTTCAACTTTTCAATTTTTGTAAGTCTCGCTTTGATACACAGCCGCACTGTTCTCAAATTAGTTTACATGCAACACTGGAATTATAATGAATTAAATTAACAATGGAATTTTAATGAATTAAATCTGCTAAAAAATAAACACGTTATTTACGGGCAGCTTAATTTCAGTCTTAATGAGAAAAACTGTGCCCTCGGTCTTGAAATCTCCCTCGCCGTTCGGGCTCGGGCCGTTAACGTTTCAAGACCTTGGGCACAGTTTTCCTCATCCGGACCTCGCAGCCAGTAAATACTGTATATGTATTCTTTTTACTTGGAAATGAGTCATTTTATAATTTTTATTCGTGAGCGGTCTATGTCAGCAGTCCATACTATGAGATCACTAGGCGGTCCGTTGTTCATATTACCGACCGCTCATGAACCAATTGAAATGTTGCAGATATAATAGAAAGCATTAATTTGGGAGCAACGATGTCCAAATTTGACCTTCTTTCTTTAATTTATGTCTATAAAGTTGCGAGTGGTAACGTTTACTTGACATGTGGATTTCCATAATTGGCAAACGAATATTAAATAACATTAAGTTTAATTATTAAAATCCAATATGTAGTATCCCTAGGTATATTGCATTGGAAAAAAAACAACATATGTATGCAAATGAGTGGAAAACCGTGGAAAATTGATTTCTTTTTAAATCATAAAAGCCATTAGGAAATATCGTAAATATACGTGGTTTGATAGTTTAAGAAGAAAAGACTGTACACTAAATTGATCAGCTACACATGTGAAGTTCTTTTGTTATGGCGTTATTAAGTAATATTTAAAACCGGACTATGAAGATTGGACTAGATTTCAGGTCCGCGCAATTTGGTCAAGTCCGATTCGAAACCGAGAACTGGATCAAAATGTGAATAATTGAAATCGAACCCAGTCCGAAATCGAGGAGTTGAAATGACATCTCACACGAATAAATCACTACTTAAAGGACAATGGCAATAAATTTTTTTATTCCTCATATTGGTAAAACTGGACCCCCTGATTACGAATATGCTATTAGTTTTCATCAAAAATGTTTTGTTCTCGAGTTATTTCACCGTAAATATTCAGTACGTCCACCATCTTGGATCGATTTTCAAAAAAATTATCTTTTGGGTCACATGACCTGTGTGACGTCAAGAGCAGGGTAGAATCAAAACAACAAATATATTTTATTAGGCGAATATTGCGACTTCGTACTTCTAGTGAGAAATTTGGGGCTTTTTGATTACTCGGATGGAAAATATCCACGATAAGGTATTACCTTATCAATTTGAGCTAAAACTGGGCTTACAAACAAGGATGGCGGTGACGAGAGCGACTCCAAAGAACAGAGTGAACGTCTGACGAGGAAATCACCATGTATTTAAGGTCGAAAATGCTTGGCGCATTTCGCATTGAAGCCAAAGGATATTGAATTGTTTTGTTGCCACGATAAAGCGTTAGAATACGATCAATAAGATGCATGATTGAAGGAGGCTGAAACACAAGGGGAGAAGTGCTTGACTGTCTTTACAACACTGTCAACACATGCAGAATTCAAAGCGAACATGCTGTCGGAAGGGCTATTAAATAGACGTTTGTCGCTATCTTGAAGATTTAAACTGGCCTCTGGATGACAAAGATTTGGACAAGATACACAAATTTTATAGACTAGTAGCTTACCAACGATGTTCGCGTTGGGTATTTCAGATTTGGGGGAATAAGAACAGAAGGCCACTTCCTGCAATCCTGCTTGTGTTTACACAATAAAGACAATTCCCATTATAGAGTAATTTTAAAACTAGGCAAGGAGATGCAAATAAATCACCACAGCTAGAAAGAGCATACTATGATACTAAAATGAGTAACATTGCAAAGTTTAGTTGCGAAATGTTGTAAAATGCGGAACATATAGCCTTGCAAAATTCGCAAATTTTGTATACTTTTGTATTGCGTGCGGAAATTGCTACATTTTCGGCCCAAATGTTGTAGCAATTTCCGCACGCAATACAAAAGTATACAAAATTTGCTATGTTTTCCGCATTTTACAACCAAGCTTTGCAATGTTACTCATTTTAGTATGCTCTTTCTAGCTGTGGTGATTTATTTGAATCTCCTTACCTAGTTTTAAAATTAGTCTATAATGGGAATTGTGTATTCGAGAGCGGTTGGGGGCTTTGAGATTGTTTGGATATTCATTTATTCAAATTTGGCTAAATCTATGCTCTTTTAATAATAACTCTAGTATGTGCCGATTACATGAAGCATTTTCAAGCCTGGGGATAAACTCGTTTACTGTTGACAGCGTTAGAATTTGTTCAATAAAGTAGCCCTCGGCCTGGGGTGCTCGAAACAGGTTTGAAATTTAATTTTAACCTCGTTTTTGAACTCAGCCCTTTGGCTGAACTTTTTTGTTTAATAAGAGTTTCATAAAAAGACAGGGCTGCTATTTCTGTCTAGTATTAAAACAAAGCTGAGTCAAAATCCAAGGTTGAAGATGCTCTAATTCCTCCGATGCAATCCGCTTTATTATAATGTGCAGCATGCAACCCCAATTTCCTACAACAAATGTTATTATAATTTGCAATTGTCCTATTATCTAATAAAGTGCAGTGGTGTATATATTAATGC